TGGGGGTATACTTGGAGGAAGTTGCCCTTCCTGTGCTGTACCCCCCCATCCTCAACTACCCCTCTGCTGTGCCCTTCCTCACTCTCTGCCCTCTCGCCAATGTTACTAGGTTCTGTCAAGTATCTGGAGTGCTCAGCCCTGACCCAGAGAGGTCTGAAGACAGTGTTTGATGAGGCTATTCGGGCTGTGCTCTGCCCACCTCCAGTGAAAAAGCCAGGCAAGAAGTGCACTGTGTTCTAGAGCCTTGTCTGGCCAACCTGGCTGCAGAGCGCTGGCTCAAGTGTGCCCTCGTGTTGAGCTGTCTTATGTCCCTGAGTCTGCTGTGGGAAGTGGTGTGGGCGGGGAGGGGGAGCATGGGGGCAAGGCTGGGGTGACGGGGTCCTGTCCCCTACGCCTCCTTTTTCTGGGATATAGTTCCAGCCTTCCCTGGTCCCTATGGGAGGCCAGGAGGGAGCGGGGTCTCCCTCAGGGTTGCAGGGGTGGGTCCAGGGCAGCCCCAGGATGGGCTTCCCTGGAGGGAAGGGTGGGTGGTTTTATTCATCATGTCCCAGGAAAGGGCGGCCCCTTCTTATTTTATACAATAAACATTCACCACCTTCTTCGCCTCACTGTTTGTCCTGCCCTCCACCCTGGTGTTTGCCCCAGCCATTCCCCTAAGGGGGGCAGAAGAGTCTGGCACCCATAAACAGCGCCTTGGACTGCACATTTTCCAAAGGAACTCTAAGTGTAACACACTCTAGGTGAGGGAGCAGACATCAGCCAGATCAAACCAGGGGTAGGCACACTTAGCTGCATACAGGATGGTCTCTGTGCCAACCTGGAGTCTGGTGGGAACCAGGGAAAATGCCTGACTACAACAGTCTGTAAAGATGTTGACCCATCTCTAGCTAATATGAGATGGGATGGTGGGCAGTCCAGGAGGGCCCAAAGTTATGGTCTTGCAACTCGAACTTCATCTCAGAGGCTATAGGCCATCCCAGGAGTCATGAAACCAGAGGATGCCCTGCAGGGACATTCTCCTGGGATACACCCAAGTGGTTCATGCTGTCTGAGAGGGCTGGTTGTTAGTTTTTTGTTGTTGGTGGTGGTTTTTTTTTCCAGGAATTTTGCCAGCCAGTGAAACAGCTCTTATTAATAATTAAATATCGGTTTACAATTAGTCGTGCTGAGAACAAAATTGACAAATACATCACTTCCTGATTAATATATGTTGCTACCCTCTACACCTTGTGAGATTGAGGGTGCTACTATGGGGGTGCTACTGTGGACCTCGTCACCTCCATGTCCACCTCACTCCACATCAAATGGTATCAGATGAACAGTTTGAAAGTCAGCTGTGGTGGAAGTTCTACACTGTGAAAATGCAGCAAGCTGACCAGGGTTGGACTTAACAGTGGCCCAGGCTATTGGAAGTGATATATTACATATAAACACCCCAGGATTCTCACCATGTTGTAAATAGCACAGAAAGAAAAGTTGTGGGAATGTTCAGGTGTTCAAAAACAGCTCTGGCTCCAACAGCACAGAGTTGTTCAGCTCATTGGCAAATGAGTAATGTCTACCGCCGATCTTCTTTTGGTGTGGGCATGTAAGCAAGGTCAGCTGGCAGCCATGTCAAAACCACATGGAGCTGTTGGTTTAATGCCTACCAAAAACCCATAGCTCCACTTAGGAACTTCTGGACGGGCTATCTTTAGACAAATTGACCAGCTTCTTGAGGATCCAGCCTTCTAGAAGGTCCTACCTTCAACCCCATTCAAGGCAGCTGGTCAGGCCTGAAAGTGTGGGAACCAGGTAAAACCTTCTTTGGGTCACAGATGGCAGAGACCTGTGCCTATTGGAGAGTCAGCACACAGGCTGTGCAGAGAGCTTTATTGCGGGGATGGAGGACACAGTGTTCTGAGAATAAAGCAGGGTATTAGTGGGGGCTCAGGTAGCCAGGAAGCCCCCGTCCACTGGCAGAGTAGAGCCAGTGGTCATGCTGCTTCGGTTGCTCAGCAGGAAGAGGATGGTGTCCACCACATTCTCCACCTCTACAGGCAGGTACAGGTCAAGAGCATCGATGAAGGAGGCTTCCCTCATCCTTCCAACCGCAGCCAACCCCGAAGCCCAGGCAAGCACCAGGACTGGTGGTGTAGTTCTAATCGGGACTCCCACCTAACTTACCAGCAAACCTGCCGAGTGGGATACGATCCAGCATCGCCTTGGCTTTGTGGGGGTCACTCCAGTTGGTCCGGCCCATGGGTGTCATCACTACTGTGGGGTTCACTGCATTCACACGGATCTGCAGAGAACCCAGCGAGGTAAATAACACAGGAGGGTGCTCCAGGCAAAAGGACTGATTTGGAGGAGTTGTCCCAGCCTTGCGTACCTTGTGGGGCCCAAGCTCTAGGGCCATCATCTTGGTCAACATGTCCAGAGCACCCTTGGTGGAACCTGTGAGGAGGGTTGTTGTGGAGACCAAGCTGGAGAGTTGGGGTGGGGTGGGGATCAGGCACAGCCGGAATTACTCACAGTAAACAGTATGGTTGGTCAGCGCACGCTGGGAGGCCTGGCTGGAGACATTCACAATGGCCCCTGGGACTCCCCGAGCTATCATGCCCTTGGCCACAATCTGAAATTTTGAGGGACATGAAGCAGAACTAACACTCTTCTTCCGAGTTCCTGCTCCAGCCGGGTAGGGCAGCTCACCTGAGACACCTGGATGACAGCCCGAAGATTCACATTGAAGGACCTAGAAGTGAATGGAGGGCCTCCTGGTCAGAGGCAAGGCTGAGGCTGCAAGGGGGATGATTTTGTTCCTCTGACCCCTGCTGCCTTACGTGTCACAGGCCTCCTTGGTGACCTCCAGGAAGGGCTGCAACAGAGCCACAGCGGCATTGTTCACCAGAAGGTCCACCGGTCCCACATTGCTTAAGGCCCGTTCTGTAGCCTCCCAGTCTGCCAGGTCCACACACACAGGCTCTACGCCAGGACACTGTGCGCGTTGAAGGGAAAGCAAAGCTATGAGCGATTGTGTCCCAAGAAGGTGGCGCTGTTTCCCTCTTCCACTCGAGGAAAGGTAGTCTGGGAGAATTGGACCTGGAAGGGAACTTTCAACTGAAGGGTCAAGAGTTCCTGCTGCAGGAGCAAATAGTGAGCTGGAACCTAGAGCTGAGAGACACAACACTCACCTCCAGTCCCCTCCCTCCATGCCCCTTCCCCCTCCCCCAGCAGTTCACTTCCTCTCGGCTCAGCATTCTTGGGTCCAGGTCTGTTCTCTCAGCCGTTTCTTCCAAACTCAGGGAGCCAGGATGTCCTAACGGACCCTCGATCAAGGCCTAGGAAGGGGTGCCGTGGGTTCCTACCCCATCACCCAACGCCAGGCGCGGGCCTGCCGTGAGAAGCACACTGCCGGTGAGGGATAAAAAGGGCGAAGCGCCTCTCAGTGACCGCCTCCTCACCTCTGGACACACTGCCTACCTCGCGGACCAGGTTGTCCAGGTCCTCTTGCGTCCGGCTCACTGCCACAACCTGTGCACCAGCCGCCTGCAACGCCAGCACAGTGCTGCGCCCGATGCCTGTGGCAAGCGAGGATTAGTGCGGGTACCCCCTTTACAAACCAGCCCGACCCCGCCAGCGTCGCTCGCCTGCCTCCTCACCTTTGCCCGCGCCGGTGACCAGAGCCCTCCGACCTGCAAGCCCCAGATCCATGTTGCCCCAGCTTGGTCCTGCCAGGGCAAGATGGACTTGGAGTTCCGGAATCGAGGGTGGAGGCAAAGAGAGCCAATCACATGAGCTGTGTCTTGAAAAGGGAGAGGATATTAAAATAAAAGCTCCTTCTGTGGTGTTGATTGGCTGAATGGCAGTGGGCGTGGCTGAGGCAAGGCTGTCCTAACCAAGGGACATAGCTTCTCAAACTACACTCACTGACTGACCCAACTGTAGAGGGCAGAGTCTGCTTAGCGAGCTCTGATCAGCATGGTTTTCACTACCAAGATTTCCACTAAAAACATATAGTAATTATTCCAGAGGTTTCATGGATACTCGTGAACCTGAGAGACATGTCCAAAGAAGTTTCTATGTGCTCTTTCCCCAGGCCCGGGAGTGGGTCGTGATAGCCCATATGTAATACTCAGAGGGGGATGGACATCCAAAGCTGAGTGGGTCGGGAGGCAGAAGCAGGCAGATCTCTCTAAATTTAAGGCCAGCCTGGTCTACAGAGCAAGTTCCAGGTCAGCTGAGCTACACAGAGAAACCCTCCCTGTCTTGAAAAAAATGAAGCAAAAAATTTGGACATGCAGATAAGTCTGAAGAAGACACTGTTATCAATAAAGCCCCAAATTAGCATGAAGGAAAGCTGAAGCCCACAGACACCTCAGCCAGCCTGTACCAGGTCACTAGCCCCATATAGATAGTGGGCGGGACAATAAGAGGTTGGATTGGGTTTGGAGATGTGTATGAGAACTGGGCAGACAAACGTTGTTTTCCAAGGCTTGAGAGTCAGTTACAGATTAATGTCCAGGTGTGCACTGGGTCTCCCTATAAAAATATTTTGGTTTTGGAGTCGTGGTGAGGAAGACCAAAGCAATTGCTCTGAACACCTACTCTGGCCAGTAACAGGGATCTGGTGATTGCAGGGCCAAGTGTGATATGGGGCTTTGGGCCCAGAGAGGTGCGTCCATGGGCTGACTGTTTTGAAAGTCAACTGCAGGAGGCTCAGCGGTTAAAAAGCACTGCATGCTCTTCCAAAGGACTTGGGTTTGATCCCCAGCATCCAAACGGCAGCTCACAATCATCTGCTGTAGGGCAACTCGTGCCCTCTCCTGGCCTGTGTGGACATCCACACGGTGTGCAGACATATAAAATAACAGTAATTTTATAAAAACCATGGAAAGAAAAGTGGCAGAGAATAGGCAGCTAAGTGCTCCCTCTGCAGTTTTGACCCACTTACCACCACTGTGAGGCCATTCTGTGAACACTGCCATCCGCTCCTAACCATGAACTCTGCCAACTCCCTGTCAGAAACCAGGAGACAGAGCCTGCCCAACACCTGACACAGCTGCTTAGAGCTTATTAGTGGCTCAGTGTTTCAGGACATACACAAATCTCATTCATTGTTCAGTGGTCCTGGGTGCATTGCTCTTTGGAGAGAAGTGTCCTATTCTCTCTCTCTCTCTCTCTCTCTCTCTCTCTCTCTCTCTCTCTCTCT